GCAAAAGCCAATAGCAGACTAGCTATTGCACCCGCCCATTGCTGCTGTCCATCTGCAGAGGTGGACCTGAAGTTCTCCATCAGCTCCTCCTCTGTTGACTGACTGCAGCAGAGGGTGGGTGCAAAAGCCAGCTTGCTATTGGTATTTGGTATTAGCTATTGCAAATTGAAATAGCCAATAGCAATCTAGCTATTCATTCCTATGCTGTTTTTTTTTTTCCTTCTATTCTGCTGGCAGCAGCTGTCAGAATACTAGAAAAGACAGCAAATAGCAAGGGAAGCATTATCTTCTTTGCTATCTGCCAGCATTTCAGGGGGGTGCTCTCTTCCTTGTTGTTGCACCCCCCGAGGAGGAGGGGGGGGGTTTGACAGAGGGCACCTCCCTGAAATGAGAAGGGCACCTCCCTGGAATGACTTATTTCAGGTTGGGATCCCTAATAATGTGAAACCAGCCTAAATAGTAAGTGTGCTTTGTATACAAGTGTACCATTTTCTAAGGAGTCAGTGAAGGCGTTCCACAAAGTATTTGGCAGAAAGTACAATGCTTAGATCAATTAACAAAACCTCTTTCTGATAAACAGGATACATATTTCAGAGAGGATACAAATATTTTACAATGTACAATTCGTTTTCTTGGTATGCTCATACTCTACACATGTTTATGTGGCAACAAACACATATTTGCTCACTTGCTATACCTGGATACAACATGTGACACATAGTATAAGTATAAAGCAATAAAAAAAAATATACAGCTTTGGCAGTAAAGATCATCCATCATGCTGGAATTGTTGTTTTGTAGAGTAATTGCTCTGTGGAAACTAGTGATGGAGGAGAAAGAAAATGACCCGATCACTCTGAACTCAGCTTAATAAAAATATCTATTTGGTTATTAAGGAAGAAAGCACTAAAAATGCTTGGTGCTGCACTGCTGCCTGAAGCAGACAATGTCTGCGGCTTCCACCTATATCAACAAATTATCTACTCCATTTTACCGCTCATTATGAGACTAGTAGCAACAGCATCAAATTAAAGATGTATCACTTGTTCATAAAAGGATTTTGCTACTAATTTACAATTACATTTCTGATCTCTACATCACAATGAATTCTAACTTTAGAATAAATTTTGTGCAAGCCTGTGCCACTTTCTGGTATACGTAGAGGCCTCAGTTATTTCAGGTTTTGAGATGATGAGCAGAAAAGGCCATGACATTAAAAGAAGACAACCAAAAGCACATTTCAGGTTGATGAGCCATTAAAAAAAAATGCAAGAAAGAAAATGACTGGCTTCTATGGGAGCACAGTTCTTGTGCCCTAATGCTGGCACTACGCTATGTGCGGCAAGAATTTAATGCTACAATTATACGTGTACAGATCCCAAAGAGTCAGTCAAATAAAAAGGTTACTGAAAAGTCTCTCATAAACTAATGTATGATGTGGTACTGTGAAAGCAATCAATAAGAATATGATTAGAGTGTAATACGATTGTAGTGGAAGGCATACCGAGACACATCATTCTGTACCTGTATAAAGTCCTAATCCTTAATTTGAATAATGATTTTAGAGACAAGTTTGAAAGATTCCCATTTGTCAATCTGTCAACTAGTCAAATGGAAAGGTTACTGGAAAGCCTCTTATAAACTCTGTATAATTTGGTGTTTGCATTTTAGGTAAATTGTGCCCATGCTTTTACCAATTGCCTATTTATTGATTTAAATGTAATGGACATAGTACCCAAAGATTTGAGCAAGTTTTTGGGTTCCTTGTCTATTGGCACACATATACACATTAACCCTTCCAATGTTATGGCTTATCGATAGCTACACCTCACCATAGACATGACAGTTTCCCGAGCCAGATGGTTTTGGCTGGGGAACTATGACCTAATGACTATGGGGCACCTGCAGACACAACCAGTGAAGGCCCACTCAAGGATAGCAATCAGAGGCTACAAAGCCTAGCACCATCACTATCATTTTCGCCCATATAAACCAGCTCTGGAGATGTCTGCGGATTGTCTCTCCCCCACATTTCTCCATAGGCCTAAACATAAACAGTCTCCCAATGAAAATAGAAAAACACAGCGCCACATCTATGTGTAAAATCTTTTATTAAAAGTAGATAAAAAAGGATATATGTACTGGTGTGGTTCCGAGGAAGGGGGCGTGCCCCTGAAACGTGTAAACCTAGCTTACTGCAGCCGATGAACGTTGATGTGACCGGAGGCAGCTATCATACGGAGTTAAGGTGGATTATTCCTTTGAAACCGACGCTGTGGCTTTTGACAAGCGTGATGCAACTTTAAGTTTGCGAGTACATGTACCCTTTTTTAAATTTACTTTTATAAAAGATTTTACACATGAAGGTTTTTCTATGTACATGATGGGAACCCCAAAGCCTTTGGATGAGCATCCCCCCAGGATTATGTAAAGAGTAGGAAGAACTTAAACAGGGGGTGGATTGTTTGACGGCAACCATTTGCGCCAAGAGACAAAAACTTTTTCATTCTCCCAGTGAAATTATGTGTGTTTAGGAGGCTGGGAAAGATGCCTGAGGGTAATTGGTTCTGATCACTTTTTAATACCTGTGACCAGTTATGGCAAGTTTTCTATATTAGTCCATTTGTGACTTGTCTGTCTTATCCTTTTCTGACACTAGCCAGGCAGTATCTTCTAGATTGCTGCATAAAGTTTTTACCTGACCCAGTCAGCCAGATTGGGGTGTCATGCTTGTATGTCTATAAATGATCTGAAGATGTAGCTTATTGCAGCCTGACTTCAGTAACTTGCCTTCAGTTTTGCAGTGTCGTACTGGCTCCTCTCCTGTACTGAAATTGCTTTCCCTGATTTTACCGCACACTGTGAGCTTCTCAAAATCAAATAGAGCCCGACTCATTTCCTGGCTGGATGACACCCAGCATCATTGGGGCCTTTCCTCCCAAACCTGACTGTCCCTGGCCTGCCCTTTCATTCATTGGATTTCATTTGTTTAAATCATGGAGAATCAGCATCACATGACAGCCTATATGCAAATACAGCCTGACCAGCTACACCCACCCCTCCAGAATTACATCCATCCATCCATCCAGGCATTTTGATATTTGCATAACTGCTCCCAAAAGTCATGTTAATGAGGGGAAGAGAAAGAAACAGGAATGCAAAATATAAGCAGGATAAACTTAATCTATTAGGTAATTGTAATGCTACAGGAATAATGTTGCCAGCTCCTGTCCTGTCCAAGGACCCATTCACACCAAGGCCGTATGGTAATCGCACAGTTCTGTGCAATACACGGTACTGTGCAAAACACCTACCGAGGTGCGTTTCAACTGAATGGCAACGCGTTGCACAGTACTGTGTGTTAATTGCACGGCCTTGGTGTGAACAGGCCCTGAATCTAACTAAAGTGCATAAACTTGTGAATGACCATAAGAATAAAAATCTCATATGCATTCAAAGGGAGTATATGTTTTGTATGTACATGATATATATATCCTCAAGGTGCAAGACCCTGCAGCAAGTTTTATTTACAACATTTTACATCATTACAGATGTACTATGAGACACACTGGAAAACATGGATACTCAACAAAATAAACAATAAAAAAAAAAATCAAAAAAAAAAATCAGTGAAATGAGAGAGGGCAGCGAGTACAGGTAATGAGGGGAAGAGTTCAGTGACTGTA